TTGCACATCTTAATTCCGTTCAATCGATTGTCTGAGCCTCTCTTACAAATTCATTATACCATTTTAAATGATAATATTGCATGTATGAAACTCGTTGCCCAATTGATGTAACGGAGTGAGCCTATTATGATATTAGCATATACAAGATACAGTAAAATTAGAATATCACGTTGAATGTTACTCTGATAGTACTAAAAGACACAGTGATATTCTTTCGGTGACCCAACTTTCTATTCCCTAGTCAGACGGTGACTGCCGGTGCCCTATTACAATATAAGAGGTGGCTTTAGTATTGTAATGTTAGCGAATTGCCGTATAAGTAAAGCCGCAGATTGGCTGAGCCGTATGGAAAGGGAACAACACGCAGGTGAGCGCGACTCCAATACACCCGTCTCAAGTTAAACACGACCGACTGTCTCGACCTGATTTTTGCAGATCCCCATAATTTCGACCGCCTCGAAGATAAGCTCCTTAATTCACGCAATCGTGTCGATATGCATAAATTATTGCGGACTTTTTACTCCAGGGATGCTGCGAGGGTTAATTACGTGGTAATGAAACAAATAAAACGTAAGAAGAAAGGGCAGATGATGTTTGTGGATGTAATCTGTCATTACATTCAGAGATCCATTGGATCCGAAGAGCGAGACCTATCAGAAAAAAACTCGCATTTCAACCCCTGTCATAAGCTCATCTTCAGCTAAGAGTAGTTCATTGTCGTTATTTATTATGTCACAAAGGTCATGAACCGTTCCATGCGTGTGTCTTGAGCTCTGCTGTTATCGTCTACACCTACTTGAGATGATCGCTGCTGTTCATCGCATGCCGATATGTTGTGGCAGTATCCTAACCTCATCAACATTCGCAGCGCTAGCCAATACAGCTGTAGCGACAGGTCCTTCCAGTCAATCCTTACAACTTGGCTTTTAGCATAAGTCATTTTATTCTTCTGTTGCTATTCGTCGTCGGTCAGACCCATCTTCAAAAGAGACACATGTTCATGCGACCACCTTGTTCGATCAGATTACAATTAAAAACTGAGCCTAACTACTATCGCTAAACACACGAGGTAGCAACATGTATGATTTCATTACATAGCATGTGGTTTCGAATTGACAACAAGTGGCAGATTCATCAGTTAAGTCTCTTGCTACTATTTAGCACCGACGATCTTCATTTCTTCCGCATTAGTGTATAATACCATTCGTTGTCATCTCTATCGTAAATTGCAGTTTCGTATCGATCCATGACGCAATATCACCTAATTTAGTTAAGTGCGTAGCCGTCAATTGCTACATTTTAAAATGTCAGGGTGGATGCCATTCACGTCACACTCGCTGAGTCTTACCGATCACACAACACTGACCTTGGAATGATCCGAATCACACGCACTGTGATCGTTATCTCTTCTCGGCGTTTATAAAACGCATCGAGAAATCCTTAGATCGAGCTTGCTTTCTTCTAGTGCCGTCAAAATGAGCGTTAACTATCGATTAAAATACGTGCAAAAGTCTTATTTTGGCTTCTGTATATATTATACTCATACGCCGTGACGTTCTAATGCGACGAGTTTGTTGAGCGGTTGATGAGGTAGATTGCCGCGTTCAATATCTCTGCAGACCCCTTTATAGACACGTCCACTATATGCAGAATGACCCAATCATTTTCAGTATTCCTGCGGTCCATCCGATCCGCAATAACGGTCTGTGGGGTGTGGGCTGTACGGAATTGTGCGATGAGCATCAAGAAGAAGAGAGATGAAGAGCTGAACGTGATATAATTAAGGGGGAAAATGCCCCATTTGATCACGAAAATAAAAAAAATGCCCCAGATAATTGGAAAATAAAAAGCGCCCCAGATGAAAATAAAAATATGCCCTAGATAATCACGAAAATAACACCCCACCTCCTAGTAAACTCATGTTAATGTGGTACACATTAAACTACGCGTCCTATATCATTTTCGTTTTTCCATTTTACGGCCGCGACCAACCCCCGCCCTGTTTGGGAAGCCGCGGACAGGGTTCTGCCGCGGGCGTGCTGCGCTTGCAGCCATCAGTTGCGAGCTTGTCGTGCTTGCAGCCACCATTTGCAGGCGCAGGCGCAAGATATGAGTACGTGAATGTGTCTTTGTATCATCGGTCGCGGCCGTAAACACAGTCAGTCGGTGCTAATGTTGTTGATATGAATGAAATTTCTTTTGCTATTGTTTGTTTCAGTCGCTATTGTTGGTGCTGTTGCTGCTGCTGTTGATGCTGCTACTGCTGTTATTGATGCTGCTGCTGTTGTTGTTGTAGGTGATGCGGTTGCTGCTGTTGCTTGAGTATTTATTGTTGATGCTGCTACTGCTGTTGCTGCTGCTGTTGTTGTTGTAGGTGATGCGGTTGCTGTTGGTGTTGCTCTATAGATGATGCTACTGTTATTGCTACTGATGTTCATACTGCTGTTGTTGTTGTAGGTGCTGCTGTTGCTTTCAATGTTGTTTTACTTGTGGTATTGCATTTCCTTTCTACTTATTAGTTTTGATACTTAAAAACACATATCATATTAATGGACCCCAATTCATCGATTCTTTAGCTCCTATTGATGATTTGATGTCTGCAGACTTCGTCGTGTGCAGGCCTATTTTAGGGAGGAAATGTGCAATGATGCCTTGAGCGTATTCGTCAAACTAGGACGTGGGGCATTTTTTATTTTCGTGATTATCTGGGGCATTTTTTATTTTTAATTATCTGGGGACATTTTTTTATTTCCAATTATCTGGGGCATTTTTTTATTTTCCCCAAAGAACTGCCTTCATAGGTTTTTATTCGTCAAGTTTAAACTATGTAAACCAAAGATTGGAGAATATTGTCGAGTAAGTTGGGATTGTAACTGACTCAATTTGGTGCCCATGACATGTGACAGGCTCACCGTGTTTGGGCGCAACATAATTTGCCGCTGCGTTTGTACACCGAATGTAATATGTATCAAATATACAATTCGACAACATTTCTTTCCTGGGCCGATATACACATGATGCGGAAAAGCCGATATTCAGCACGAAAGAGCATTGGCGGACGTATCGATCAACGTCACCTCGTACTAGTGAATGGCGAGAAGCCTTGATATGTGTGCGTCTAAGAAGATCCTCATAGAAGTAGAGGTAGAATAACGCACAACTCTTTGAGGGCTGCAAGAATTACGTCTACGACTTGTTCCGTTCTACTTTCGCCTTCTGGCAGCTCGATCGTTTGCTGTGCTCAAGACCATCACCAGGGTACCTGGTAGCACTCACCTGTTCAAGCTCGATCATTTGCTGCTCATGAGACTATCCATTTTTCACCAGGATGTCCTGGTACAACGCACCTACCTGGTCAGTGTCGCTAGTGACAACAGAAGCTTGCTGACTTAAGCTTAGCAGTATTCGCTATTTGCAATCAGACCAAGTACACTTAGCCTTATCAGCGAGTGCATTTCTGCTTCTCAACGAACGGAATGTCGAAAGGACCTGGTGTTCATTCTTTCGTCCTGCCTTTGAGATGCTAGAACTTCGATCGTTCCCAACTCACACGCGACACGGTGGTCGAATAATGCGAACCGTGAAACGCGCAGTCGAAACGTGCTGCGTTAGGACAAGCTAACTACCTCTTCTGGAGAGGTAGATCCATCACTGATCAGACCGGTCGCCCAAACTTGATGAGAGTAACGGTCATATGAGATAGCAACTAAATCTGGGTAAACTCACGTCGCATGACTTGTTCGCGCGTCGAAACGGTCCTTCCCTCCATCACTGTATTTGAAGCATGTCAGGTTTCACCGACTTCCGTTTCCCGGATAGCTCCGATAATCTGTCTCATGATCTGTGGCTATCCTACACTCAGCAAACTATCACATCAGACGAAGACCTATCTCGCTCGATTCAGCGTTCGTGCTCGATGCAACCTGTCTATGCATGCGATGTGTGAGTAGCTACCGAATTTGCACGGTCTTCGAGTCAGTTGAGCCCGTTTCCACAACGATGACGAGGCAGTTCCTTTCTATGCCATTGCCGTTCGCAGCTCACCCTCACTAGTGTCCTAACGGACACTTGTACACGTCACTTGACTAAGTTGTGCTGTCGCACTCGATGCAGCAAGGTCGTCAGCTATAGTGACGCAAGTCGCTGCCACTTCACAACCGAAGCTCATGTCAGCTGGCTCGATCACTGCGCGACCTTACAATTGGAAGCTGACATGTGCGCGTATCCAATACAGTCAGTGTCGGACTCCAAGCAGCTTTTTGGCAAAGACCCCTGCAGTTGCGTTCCCACTTTGTGGCTCTGCCACGACAATAGCCCTGCCACGACAATAACTCTCAACAGCCTCGACTCTCTGTGTCTATCTTGATCACCAGCGACACCGCTGCGAAAATCGCTGCAATCTCTGCCTAACTGCTACGGCTGACATGCTCCACGCCATGTATTCCACACACGCACAAGTACACGACAGCGAAATGAAAACAAACGGGTCATCCGCGTCGTTGTGTGCGTTTTCAGCTTCAAGTCAGCTGCTCGTCCTTTCGGCTCAGCTCTCGGCATGTTGCAGCTCTCCAAAGTGATGCGCATAGCAGTCCGACCCGTCACGAGCGTCTCCTCTCGACACCACGTTTGACCTCTCATAACAAATAAACAAACCCACAGAAACAACCAAATGAAACCAAACACCACACGCCGCAAAGTATCGCCCGCTTTCGTCGAAGCGACACAAACGGTCCACCGCTCCTGGGCCGCAGCCCACCCACCACACGGTTTCACTATACCCAAAACCATCTGCCGCCGCCGCCGCCGCCGCCTTTCTTCCCGACATGCCGACCTCCCCCACCCCACTCCCTCAGTTGAGAACTTGCAGCGCCCACAACGCGTCCACTTTCGCCCGCCCGCCCGCCCCCGAGAGACCCACACGAGCGCTTTCTCGACATTGTCGCGCGCCACTCCCTGCGCCCTCTCGCGCCATCGGTCGGTCGACGGACCGTCGAAGGAAAATGGCGCACCAGAAGCGCGAGCACCTGCGCGTGTTGGCCGACGGCTGGGGACAGCAGACCACCGGCAGCGTCTTTTGCGCCGACTCGAGTCTGCGGTACATTTACGAGAGCGCCAGTGCGTCTGCCTCGTTTGCTTTGTCTGTCGCGTCGCCAGTGCTCGCCCCAAGCGCCGCCACGAAACGTCGCGACGTGTCGCACGTACTTGTTCCGTCGAAACAGGTGGCGACTTGGAACGGTCCGTCGGCGACGCTTGGGGCGAGCACTGCTGACGCGCGCGAGAGCCAGTGCGTCAACGACCACCACGTCGCTGTTGCACGTGCGTGCCACGCGATCGCAGAGCAGACGCGTGCGAGTCCGCCGTGCGGCTATGAGTGCTCTGTGTGCTTTAGCGCGAACGCCGTCGCGCAGCTCTCGAACTGTGGCCACACGTTCCATCCGCAGTGTTTTCTGCGATGGTTCCGGTCGACCCCAACGTGTCCGCTGTGTCGTGCACCGGTGGACACGATCGAAGCTGTGGCGTTTGGCCCGCAGCCAACTGAGCTCGACGCGCTGATGGCCGAAATGGATCCAGACGATGCGCTGTTGGGTCCTGCCGCCGACCAGCTGATGTCGTTCTTTGAGACCGAATTGGATACAGACATGGAGCTCGTGGCGCTTGAGGCCTTGAGCACAGCGCCTGCGGACTCGATCGAGTTGACGCTGGAGCCAGACGAGGGAATGGTACAGGAGGCGACGCCAATGGACATTGACTTGACACGAGAACGTGGTGTGCGCGACTGCTTCGAGGACTCGATGCAACGGATGGACGCGGTAGCAATGCCGCAGCAGTTTCTACCTGCAGCTTCGACGGTCCCGAACTACTGGAACGTGCTGCATCAAGGCACGACTGTGTCTGCAGTGCCACTTGGAGGAGCTCCTCCGAGGATGGTGCACATTGTCCCCAAGATGGATGGCAAGACAATACCGGACTCTATGGGTACGAGTGCTGGGACAATGGAGCTGGCGGGCAACAGGCAGGTAAGGTCAGTGTATGACGATCACTACCATCATGAGGCTGTTGGTGGTCGTGCTTTGGCATCTGCCGCGACCACTCGTGTTGTCTCGTGTCGGTGTACTGGAGGCTGCAAGAATGGGCGCTGTGCCTGCGTCAAAGAAGGCGGTATGTGTGGGATCTCGTGTCGGTGCACGTCGTGCAAGAACCCCTACTTGATGGTCAAAGCCGCTGGTGCAGACATTGAGGCACTGTTGAAAGACGACTGCTTTATGCACAATGTGTCCAAGACTCGAGATATGGTCCGACGGCTGCAAGAGCCAGTGGTTGTGCCGTGTTGTGCTCGCACGATCAAGGTCGTCGAGTGCGTGCAGGGCTACACGTGCGAGGTGTGCACCCAGCGGTACGATTTCTCGTGGTGTACGACCAAACTGCTGGCGAGTGAGCGCACTCCACGCAATCACTGTGCCATTTGCAGACGATGCTGTGACCATCGCGACGTGCACTGCCATGACTGTGGTCGCTGCTACTTTGCTGGCGTGGTAGCAAGTCTGCCGTGTCCGTGCAAAGAAGCGCTGGGTCACAAGAAACATCGCGAGGCTATGGCAAAAGACAAGAGTGACGACGCTGAGGAAGAAGCGGAAGGCGAGTGCTGCATCATGTAGTTTTGTGGCATTTGTTTCCTGCCAGTGTAGATTATGTAGACGTTGGAATTGGGAACAAGCATTGCGCCGTTGTTCCTTCGCGCCAGAGCTGGTTTACAGCACTCTTTTGTTGTTGCATAGATGAGAGAAAGAAGCTCTTGCATTTGCCGAGAAATAAGCTGTATAACGAGGAAGCTTAGCGATCTGTGGACGATGGTGTTGATGTGCACTTCGGTGGATTGTCATCGACTAGAGCACGTACTGTACATCGCAGTAGTGGTTGTCTCATTCATCCTATTAGGTGTACGGCGTCATGATCATACGCGTTGCGCACAATACCAAAAGTGTGGGAAACATCTCTTGATGTCCTCTTTTGTACATGTCAGCAGTAAATGTGATCTTTAACGGCAGTTGTACCAAGTGCATCGTAGTCAGATTCTATTCATTGTCAACGCCATTGTTGTTGCTTACCCCTCAACTTAGTTCTGTGCCTTGATCACCTTCAGATCATTTAGAAACGCCACCACCTCTTGCGAAAATGTCGGAAGGTCGACCTGGCCGCTCCACTGCAAACACTCGCCTTCCATCTTCGACGCAGCCTCGAGCTGCGATGGTGTGAGAATGTCCTTGATGTAGCTATGAAGAAACACCTGGTAGAAAGACGCAAAGTCCACAGCTGCAACACGATGCAGCAGCTGAATCACTTCATCCTGGAGAAGATTCATCTCGCCGCGCGTCAGAATGTTCATAAGTGTCGAGAGGAAGCCCAGACGCAGCTCACTTTGGAACCCTGTAAAAGCAAACAACCCTTGCGCCTTGTCCACCCGGTCCAGTAGTCCAAGCACCTGCTTACAGATACGCGGAGCCAAATTCGAGCTTTCGCGACTCAACACGCTCGCGAGGCTCTGGAAGATGGACAGGAAGTACGTGTGCGCCTGGCCGGACGCGTAGCCCCGTTCGCGGGCGCCATCTTGAGTAAATTGGCCAGAGTAGACGATAAAGTAGCGAAAGTGCTTTTCCAGTAATTGTTCGACCAAGGCCACGTAGTAGCCCAGGATGACCGAATCGCTTTCTGGATGCGAAAAGATCGGCTACATGCACCACAAAAAAACACAGCTCGATAGTGAGTGGCTTGTAAGCGTATACAAAACGTGGCTGTCGTACCTCTTTCAGTGGTCCAAAGCAAAGATCGAGGATGTTTTGCAAGAACGAAGTAAAGACCGAAGTCGGTTCTTCGACGACGATCTTCAGCAGCTGTAAAAAGCCGCAAAGAACCATCAGACCAGTGTTTCCTTGGCTGTAAAGTCTGTGTAAGACATCACAAGCGTACATGTTAGTCACAAAAAAGATCGTAGTCGGAACAGGTGCAAGCAAGCACGTACACGCCAGACAGTTGCGGGTTGTTGAAAATCTCCACAAACGTGCGCATTATCTCCGACACGGTCTCCTTTTGCATCTCCTTGCGGATCGACTTGAGCAACTGAGCGTACAGACGAACGATTTCGTTCACCACTTTGAGCGCACTTTTGGCCTGACTGCTCGACCGAGGCGTACTTGACGCCGCCATTTTGCAAATGGTAGTAAAGTAAGTCGTCAATAGGGTAATCAATGACGGTAGGGACGGCTGGAACACAGAGAAGAACGCGTCCTTTGCAATCTTCGGCTTCGTTACAACCGAGCGGGCAAGACAGCGCACTACGTAGCAGTCGCGCCTCAGCTGTGCAACCATAACATGCTCGAGCACGCGGTGCTCATTCTGACGCAGCGTCAAGGCGGACTGATCGATAGACTCGCGAATTGGAATTAACAACGACCCGTAACTGTTCTCCCACTTTTGCGATCCGTTTGAGGCCTCGCTGTTGCCTCGTAACGATATCGCCGAATTCAAAATCGAATTCGACATCGAAGTGTAGAGGTCGCCTTGAATCGCTAGCGGCAAGTGCAAGCTGAACTGATGAATGTGTGCCTCAAGTTGGGTCATGGACGAAATCTGGAGCATGTCGTCATAGGATAATACGAAGCCGAGGTTTGCAAGCAGCTGCGTCGAGTTCTGCATCACAGCCAAAGGGGACGGCACGATGCTCGTGTCAAACGTCTGAAGCAGCACCTGGAGAATGATCTCCGAGGCATGTAGCACGTCCTGTCTAGCGCCACTCTTGATCACGAACGGGACGCAGCTCAAGCAGTACCGAATGCTCGTGAGCGCTTCACACTGTAACTCAATAAAAGCGTCGCCTCGAGTATGCAGTCGGTGCCGCACCATGTAGTCCGACATTTTGACAAACATGTGCAAGATCTGCCAGCCAGCCATCTGCTGAGTCATGTCATCGCTGGAGCTGCAGTAGGTGGCGCACACGCTAGAGAGAATCGCGCAGTTGACGGTCAAGTCGCGAATGGCATACCGCTGCTGCTCCCACTGTTCGGATTGCTGCGTGGCCACAGGCGTCTCATGCAGGCAGAACAATACCTTCTGAGCATTACCTTGAACACGAGGCAGCATGAGATCCAGTAGTGGAGGTGCGCAAGAAGGAAGTGCCGCAATTCGTCGAATCAGTGCGATGCAGTCCACAATAAACTGCTTTCGATCTGAAAGCTCTACCATGGCAGCAGACGCACTGGAAGCATTGCCACTTGCAGCATCCGTCTTGATCTGTGCGAGATCCTGCAACGAACCGGTACCGTACGTTCTGTCGGAGCTTTCCAAGTCAAACGCTATGCTGTTGTCTGCGTCTTCATGGTCGCCATGCGTTCCCGCATCATCGCCGTCGTCCAATTCGTCCAGCTGGTTCCGATTCGACTCGTACACTGCACGCTCGACCAGGTGAAGCATCACGGCCACAAGACCCTTCTCGTAAGCGGCCAGTACGACTCGCATTCGCTCATTCGCAGCGCCTTCATTCTGTTCCACTTCTTCAATGTACGACACCACTACTTCCCACACACCCAGACAGTTCATAAACCCTTCAACATGGGGCTGTTTCGTCGTCAGCGAATAAATGGCCTGCAACAACGTCTGCAACGTCTCCCCGTACTTTGGCTGCTCCAGTCGCTTGAGATGATGCGACACAAACACTTCGACACACTCGCTCAATTTGTCTAAAAAGTGCTCCGTCGCTCTGGCCAGCACCCCGTCTTCCACGGTCTTCTGCAGCAACGGACACAAGCGCAGCATCACCTGCGCGACAATGGCATCCCCTCTCGACGGCTCGAATCGCTTGCTCATCAGCTCTGTTACACACTGTAAGGCCGTTGCACTCGACACACACACGTGCGACGTCAGACCTCGACCCTGCACGATCTCCCAGTTCCTCGCCAGCTCAAACAAGAGCGCGATCCACACTTCCGTCACGAGCTCTGCCACTGGAGCCCACGTACTCAGTGCATTGAACGCCAGTAGCGCTACGTTTGCCACACGATCTTGTCGCTCCACAAGTTGCGGGGCACCGGTTTGCACGTCATGGCTACACTTTTGCAGCACGGCAGCCAGCACCGTCAATATTGCTGGCAGGTGACTGGTCAACTTGGCTTTGGCTTCTCGCGCGATCGTCGCGAGCACAAGTGCATCGTCGCGTCCGAATTCGTCCACAATGACTTGCAGGAGCTCCAGACCGATTTCCTGAGACGGGGCAGCGACTACGAGACCTTCAACTTGGCTCCAAAACTCGGGCCATAAATTATGAGAGTCGCGCCACTGGAGTTTGGCGATATCGGCAATGACTTTTCGCAGTTTACGGTGCACAAAGGGCACGTGGTGGGGCGACGCTGATTGGAGGAAATGCCACACAAACTCACGAAGCTCCATTTGGTCCCTCGGGGAGAATTGGACCCATTTTTTCGCCACATATTCCTCCAACGTCGTTGCTGCAAACCAGAGCGAGTATTCATTCTGAGAGGTACGCAGCAACCTGAAGACCACGGGCAAGCACGCCGCCGGCGAGTCTTTGAACGCCGTGAGCTCTTGTTCCAGCTGCAGTTTGTCGGCAGCAGACGTGGACGGGTCCAATAGCCGTTGCAGCGCAGCCTCAACGCCAGCGATCGCTGCGTCGGAGCTCATTCGTTTTGTCAGGATCGCTTTCTGAGCGGCCCTTGTGAAATTGGGTAATTTAGAGAGTGGTCAGACAGTGCATAACGCCACGTCACGACGACAGAATAGATAGACTCTGGTTTTAAACACGCTTGTGGAAACAGTACCATTCCTGTCAACATGGCTACACGCTCGTACGCTGGTCCAGAGTGGCTATTGTTCATAAGGACGGATAGCGACCGCGATGGGATTGTCGTGACAGCGGTGAGTACGCGGGGAAAGAATGTCGTGGCCGAGCGAATGGTGGACGAGACCGCGTTGATGGAGCATGTAGGACTGGGAGTGACATATCATAGTTGTGAAAACGATTGTATTGATAGACGAATTGTTTAATACTTTGCGTGGCGCTATTATGTGTCACGATACAAATACGAAGACTAACCGACTGACATGCTCACTTTTACGCAGAGCGAAGAAATTGGTGTCGAAATGGAACCGATCGAGTTTCGGCCTTTGCTGCTCGTGTGTCACGCCCGAACAAGTTTGCTGCTCAATTAATTGCGTTGTATTCGCAACCAAGAGTCTAATTGTAGTTTTGCTGTTTTCTTGCTCCAATTACAATTATTATTCGCTTCTGTATTTGCTATGTATCATGGCGACGGCTATTTCTATTATTATTGTATCACGATGACTGTATTTTTGCCATTGTATTTACGATTGTGGTATTCTTCCGATTATTGTATTTACTTTTTTGTGTTCTTTGTATTTCTGTTATTCCTGTTTATTATTCTTTTACGGCGTTGTTCGTGTTGTTGTTGCTCCGTCTGGTTGATTCCAAATAATAACATGACTATGCAGAAAACACTGGAAACGCGTCGCAATGTCGACCTGAGTGTGAGGATGAGGGCAGAAAGTGAGACAGTAGAAGAAGTTCATCTGTTGTTGACGTACGCGTTCAGCTCCGACATTCGTCGAAAAGGAGCGTTTCGACTATCGATCGTTGCAGCGGATGCCCCAGTGAGTCTCGTGGCATTGTTGACCAGCATTCATGCGACGCCGCCACGTCCGATACTTTCGGAAGACGAGCAACGAGAGAAAGTGGCAACGGAATTGCCGTCTTCTGCGTCAAAAAGCAGCGATGCTGTGGGTCCTGAAAAGGCAGAGGATGGCAACATGAGAGACAGCGGAGAAGCGACAGCTTTCCACAGGGCTTCGAGTTCCACTGCAACAGCTGCGTCGATCCGTCCAGTGCGGCTGCAAAAGAGACTCCATCCTGCTGGAACAATGTACTTGCAAACTCTCTGTAGGTACATTTCGTCCGAATTGTCGAGTGTGACCAAGTGATTGTGTCGTGTGTGGATCTCTTGTAGGCGACGGAAAGGTCCTCGAGGGGCCAAGTTGGCAAAGAAGTAGCAGGTTGCTGTGCAAATATGAGGTTGCGTTTGGGTTGTGCTGTACGTTTAACGACATGAGTGTTTGCATCTTGGGGCGCTCGTTTTAGCGCTATTCGAACAATGAATGCGATGTGCATTGATTGCTGTCTTGTGGCGATTACATCAGAACTCCTTGACCCATAGTGCACCGCATACTGTGATCAGCTCTACTCAAAGCCGTGAGCAAGTCTGTCTCGATACGACTCTTCATAGAACTGCCGGATTTGCTACTTTTGTTCAAGTTGCTGGCTATACAGGACTTATGGAGTTCGCAAATCTGGCTAGTTTTGTGGGTTTGCCTCATGCACTAGTGCAGCGCTCATGGGTCCTCCCTTGCAGTGGAGGTGAGACTCATATCGCCAGTATTGTACTTGCAGCACGTCCATCTGTTCATGGCCATGGCGTTGTTCCTTTTTCGACTCGTCTTCGTACTTGCAGACATTGCAATCGTCTATCAGCCACTTTGCCGATGAAACGTCGCGCGTCTCGTCGATCTCCAGTAAAGAGCCGTCGCTTCAGGCTGACACTTCATCGTTCATTGTACTCGTGCGAAGCAAGTAGAAGAAGCAATGTAGAAATAGTAAATCGTGCATGTCGTGTCGATGGCGTTGCTTACAAACAGCACACCTGTGTATGCGTTTCGACTCCATTTGTTTTACCTGCCTCGGCATATTCCACGATCAACAACGTGCTCATGTTTGCTCTCATGTGCAACTACTGTGTCCCCGTGAAGCTGCGAAGGATGTTGAAAGAAGAATTGGTGTTCTTCAATATACGTACGTGTGTCGTATTGCAAAGTCGTTGCATAAGATATGAACTCCTGCAACGCACCCTCTTGAAACCAGACATTGCCATCACCGATCACGGAACGAGGAGCTCAATACATATTCAGAGTCCAACCGGCAATAATTATTAGGATCCGAAATGCAGTACTCTATAGGGCAAATGCATGTGTGAGTGCACGGATCGTAAACGTGCAGTGGCTTGCACGCAGATGACTTGAAGTTGAATGGATAGCTAACTACAAGCCGTGTTTTAACAAAGGCATCAGCCGTATCCGCTAAGACCGTAGTGGTCGCATGGAAGATGACACCTGCTTCCGGCACGCTGTTCGTTCACTATATTTCGACTTGATCCGCCAAGTCTGCACGATTCTTGACCCAAAGTCGAGCTTTTCTCGATACCTTTTTGGCATCTTCGTCGTTGTTAATCCAGGCTTTGTAGCAAACTGACCTCTGGGACGAGTCGAGCTTCTCACTTTTGCTCCAGGTATGGCCACGAATGCTGACATATAATTGATTGAATCCGGATGCTCCGTCGAGTTGATACTGCATGTTACCGAATCGACAAGCCGACATTGCGCGGTACTGTTGAACGGTTCGTTTCATCAGTAGCAGCTCAAGATATCGCAGTGGCTTAACAACATTTCTGCTGTTGCCATACGACGAATTGCATAAGTGGTATGTGTGGTGAGTCAACATGAACAGTGAAGCGCGTTCGCGACCTTTTTTGGACAGTTTACTGCTATATGCTGGAGAGCGGACAGCTAAAAAGACAGATACTTGATGAGTCATGTGCTGCAGTACAATCATATCGATACTACAGCGCGTTCCGAGCTTCTGATGCGTTTTCAAATGGAAGACAGACATGTGCGCTCATGTTCACACTAGTTATTGGCAACGCATGTGCTAGATTAGTTTAACGAGCTAGAGGGATCGCTATCGTACAAACGCTAGTCTCTATCGTTGCGGAGCCAAATTGTGTACTTCGATACTAACAAAGCGCTTGGACCGCACTTTGATCATCGAATAAATGCGTCTGGCACGGAAGGTAATCGAGTCATCGAGACGGTGCTACCGCTCAGGTTGTTTTCGTATCGCTAATGATACTTGTTAGGAGATCCATAACGTCAACACGGATGGTACAACCATCTATGAGGTCTACTCACGCTTCGAGCTAGGTAGTGCCACGGATGCAAAATCAATAATAGCTCTGGAATTTACCGTCGCGAGGTCTGATGGGGGGTTTGCATTGTACGGAGAAGGCGGGTTTCGATGTCCGTGATGATACACACAACAAACACGTGCTACGGAAAAGACGCTCGACGCAAAGAACATGTAGCTACACAAGTGTAGACCGATAGAGTGACAACCAATGTACGCAATACATGTGCAGTAGTTCCTCTTATCAACACACTCCTAGAGCATCATCCAAGAGAACTTCTTCCATCGTCCTCAGACAAGTTTGGCACATTTCTTCTTCAAATTTGATGATTGCGTCAGTGAACAGCTTCTCTTTCGCGCCTGAGGCCGCAGAGCTGAAATTCATGGGGACGAACCGAGTGACCGACTCTAATGAAGTCCCGGCGTACCCATCCACACTGCTCAGTGACGGCTGGAAAACGCACCAGCCAGTGCCATCCGAGTGCATGCCAGCAAAGTCGCCTTCCCCTTCGGTAAACTTCTTCCAGACAATAACGACTCGATGGCCTTCGCAATACTTTCGCGCAACGTGGAACTGCACGAGCGTACCACGACTTCCGGGGACGGATCCCTGGTATTTCGCAATAGTCGTGTTATCGGGAATCCAAGCCCCCTCTACTTCGGTGTAGCCTTGGAGGTTCTCTAGACTGCACGCACGATCGATACGAGCCCGTAATCGATCGAACGAGAACGGTGTCGTCAACTTCCCCGCCAGTTCATGATACACCTCATCTTTCATCGCCCGTTGCGAGCGCAAGTAAAAGACATTTGCTTCGTCCTTCTCGTCCGACGGATCAGCCGTCGCATCCACTGCCAGCACTTCCCAGACTTTGTCCGTCTGTGCATACACGTCGTCGAGCTTCTGGATATACGTCTCGTACAGCGCTTGATCGGGCGACTTGCGCCGCGCTTTCTTGACCAAACAGCCTTCACTTCCTCCTTCCTGCCGTTCGTCTCGAACCCGCTTCCTCACGAGGGCTCCCAGCTCCCGGATGAGTGCTGACTGGTGCTTCACTGCCTCAACGTATCGGCCATGTTGTTCTTCTGCCCGCAGTTTGGCCTGCAACTGTCGATCTGCCAGCGCTTTCCACATGATCGAGCGATCGCGCTCGGCACTTCCCGCTTGCACGATCGCCTTGGTCTTCTTCTTTTGCAGCAGTGCCAGTTGATGCGACAGCGTGTTCACCAGCTCATGCAGAGCCAGTCGTTGGTCTTTTTGTTTCTTTCGGTACGAGCTGCGCCGAATGGCATCTCGACTGCGAACGCTCTCGCCCGCATCGGCCCTGGCAGGAGACAGTGGGGCCGACCGCAGACTTTCCGTATCGGTCAACGACGCGTCGCTGCACGATAAACGCATGTCGCGGAGACTGTCTGGGAAGCCCTCGGACCCGTACACTGCGGCAGAGGCCGTGACTTGATCCAGCAATTGCACGGCCGTGTCGGCGCTTGGCATCGTGAGCAGCGGCGGTGGGTCTTTGTCGAGGGACTGGACCAGGACGTTGCCAGGAACGGCCGTCCAGTCGAAGCTGTGCAAAAAGCACGACACTTCATCGAGGAACACCGAGTCGGCCATTCGTGGGGCGCCCAAGTTGCGAGACGGAACGGATAAAGTGTGCAAAATGGACGCGAAGAAGCCGAAGCCGAAGAAGAGCGAGCGAAGTTCAAGTAGCTGTTGGGCTGGGCGGATGACGTCATCGTGTTCACTCGCGATGGCGCGTCGTGGCGTAATCAGTGTAGAAAAAGGAGGGGGCGCAGGGCCACGAGCGCCAATCCGAACGAACGACGGCCCCGACGTGGCAGGTGATGACGAACGCCGGTGTTGCCACACTGACTTATGTTGACCGCGTTCTCCGGTAGCCGATTGAATAGTCAGATCCGTGGGAGAAATCATTGGCGCAAACGTTTTTCCAGCTAATTTGTGGACCTGCGCGCGTTCAAAGCGCCTTCGTGTGCCCCACTGGGTTCAGTTTGGTTGCACTAGTTGCACCTTTTTTGGTCAGTTGCCCCTCTGGGGTCAGTTTGGTTGCACTAGTTGCACCTCTGGGTTCAGTTTGGTGGCATAAGTTGCACACAGGTCACTATAAACAGTCGAAGTCGAGTTGCGTGAGTTGCTCGAGGCCGTTTGTGCCTGTAGACAGCGCAGAGCAACCTGTTCCTCCGCTACTTGCGAGAAATACAGCGAACGAATTGCTATGTCTACAACACACCAATTTCCTCCTCTGGCTATATACAATGGCCATATGTCTCTGATCTCGGTCCTTTTTAGGTCCCAGTGCTTCGTGGTCCGTTCGTAAAAGGTGCACTTTGTGAGACGAGAACGGAGTTGCTACACAGCTTTTGGTCTGAATGTTTGGTGAAGAATAAGGAGCGTCGGTGTGGTTACAGTTCGCGCCTTTAGTGTGCACCACATGGGATCCACTGATACTGCTCCGGCTGCCAGCGTACCCCGTATGTACCCCCCCCTTCCCACCCACTCCGCTGACTCTTTTCTGGTCGCATTCGTCTATGAAAATCTCTCAGCCCGCCGGCACCACACAGCGAGTACACCACGAGCGACTCTCAGCCCACATTTGCACTCTATTTCGATGGGCCTCTTGATGACCAAATCTGCGCCTCGTGGTACCGCACCACATGCACTGTAAACGATAGCCATCGCACTTGCTCGGACAATAATGGACCGAAGATTGCGATACTGTGCAACAACAAGGAGCAACACACTCGCCGTTCTATCTTTCTTCGGGCTCTCAGATGCGTCCGGGGGCAGACTGCAAGCGATCTCGTGCCGGGTATCACAAATGTATATTCGCAACTTTGACGGCCACTTGGTGTGGGCAGTGTGCAAAAGCTTATTGTACTCAAGAACAACCTCTTTCTAAAAGCGTGGGCTTCTGTGTTGTCCTGTTCGTATTGATGAGACAACGCGCTGTCTCGTGCGTATCGCCTGGTGTCGTCCGTCACACTTTCATGCCACCGTCGACTTGGAGCAGCTTGTATTTCTGTAGAGTACTGAGCTTTTCCAACCATACAGACATGAGCCTTATGAAGTATTTCTAGTCAGCCTTGCAGGGCTCACTGCCACCGTGAAAAATGTCTACGAGTCACGATTTGATCCAAATTCGACATACGAGTAACATCCCAACTTCTCACTTAACTTACTCGAGCAAACGCACGGTATTGGCGATGTGTCCAAACGGAGTTAGCATAAGGCACACGCTGGTCGACATTGTCTCTCTACATACTTGACTACAATAGTCCCATTTGGTTGCGCAGACACCGCTTGACCGCAACAATTGTATCATATATTTGAGCATAGAATTTGCCATCAAAGAGCTCGCTGATCGCAAAAGGTCTATTCCATGGTCGCATCCGACCGTCTGTGCCATCAGGCGAGAAGGAAGCAACTGTAGATCGAGAGCTGCGTCTTGATTGACCGTTTCTTGGCGGCAGCTTCTAAGCGGCAGATCGCAGATCGCTTCATGTTTCATGCAATCAGTCGTACGCAAATGGCGTCAAGCACATAATCTGTGGAAGGAAAGCCCTCTTTGCACCTGTTGATGCTGAAGTAACTTTGATCATGGTTTCTTCGTTCTGCTGCCATTTTACCCCCAGTACATCTTAGCACTTCTCTCCGTCGAGTCGTACGCGAGGACAACTGTCATGTTGCAGTTCAACTACATTCAAACACTGGAACACGACCAAGACAACACGTGAGGATATACAGCTTGTTACGGACGGCTGGCTCCTTTTTGATCTTCAATTTTTACCTAAGACAAGTGAAGTCAAGCAAAGCGTCACATGTGGCAGTCACATGATGGAATCGCATTCTCTCGTTGTCGTACCTCAACGCATGGTTTCTATCCCAAAACATCGCAGTCGCTGACTGACGGCAACGCTTGTCCTATACATTGAGTGCGAGCTGCGCACACAATAGGAAACCTGATGCAGCTTCTCGCGGGTGGGACGTGCCTTGGGGGTCACGTACTTGGTCAGCTCCTTTCTCTAGCATTTGCTTTGTCAACTGCCGTTCGATTCACACCAATGAAGTATGTCGATGGAGCCTCTCGCACAATACATACTTACATGCCGCATCATGTAATTAACGCAGTTCGCCAGGCTTGTTTGACGTCGTGACGAGTCAAGCGTTGGGCAAACCTTCAGCGTTGGGCAAACCTTCAGCGTTGGGCAAACCTCCAGCGTTGGGCAAACCTTCAGTGCACAACAATCTGAGCATGTTATTTCAGTGGCCATCAATCGTCACGTCCATTTTGATGCGGTGCCGTTTGTTCTCAACTTTCCATCGTGTCGACTGATTCCATCATCGTAACAACGTGTGGGAAAGGATGCTGTTCATTTCAACATGGAGCCTTTGAGCAATGAGAACGAGGGAGACAGGACACCCGCCTACGCGTTCTTTGGACGCTTGTCGCGCACTGCGTGTCGGTTCATCGACCGTTGCGACCGCTCGCTCCACCATACAAACCGGAGCCAGTACCAGCGCAATGAAGAGCATCACAGCAAGTGGTTTGTCATGAACCGCTCGCACATTCGCGAATGCCTCGCCGAGCTCTTGGGGACGTTTGTCATGATCTGCTTCGGCTTGGGCGTGAACAACCAAGTGAGTCTATCCAACGAGACCAACGGCACGTGGCTCAGCATCAATTTGGCCTGGGGCATCGGTGTGCTCATGGCCGTGTACTGCTCGGAAGGTGTCAGCGGCGCCCACTTGAATCCAGCCGTTTCGCTTACTCATGCTGTCTATGGACGTCTGCGATGGTGGAAGCTGCCGGGCTACTGCTTGTCGCAATGCATAGGCGCTTTCATTGGCGCTGCTGCAATTTACCTGTTGGATTACCAGAAAATCCAACGAGTTGACTCCACCTTGGACACGACGCAGAGCAACTTTGCCACGTACCCGAACGTCGACATCAACAATTATACCGCTTTCTACACGGAAGTGTTGGCTTCGGGAATGCTGCTGCTATGCATTTACGCAATCACGGACCAGAACAACCGCTCGCCTGGTACGGTGGGCACGCCTTTTGCGTTTGCGCTCATGATCATGGCACTTGGGATGAGTTTTGGAATGAACACGGGGTATGCCATGAACCCTGCACGTGACTTTGGTCCTCGTCTCTTGACGTACGCGGTGGGATACGGCTCCAACGTGTGGACGGCCGATGGCTTTTACTTTTGGATTCCGATTGTAGGTCCGCTCGTTGGAGGTGTGATTGGTGCTGGCTTGTACCGACTTCTGGTCCAGATGCAGCACCCGTATGAACAGGATTCCTAAGATCCCCCGATAAGCAGAACGAGGAATGGCAGCATCGGTATCGCAAGTACAGAATCGATGGGCTGTAGCACTTGCAAGTCAGTGTCGCATCTTTCGTTATCATCACTTTGTTTCGCAGTGTTTATCTTTATCAGTTGATTTAGTCGTAGCCTCCACATTTGCTGAAACTTTGGCCACTTAGTAGAGATCGAGCGAGCGAGACGTCTTGGATCGAGAGTCTGCCCGGACAAGAGCAGATGACGGTCGGCGGCAAAACAAGACTCCGATCGTCGCCGTCTCCATTAGCAGCAGTACACCAAAAGTACACTCGCTACGGTGACTCGGCGGGGACACTGGCGTCCGAGAGCCGGCGCTTCATGATGCCGCGCCAGCCGCGACGTAGACGCTGAGTTTCTTGGAAAGCGATGTATCGTTCTACCAGGTAAGCTTGACCAGCCTTTATGCCCATGGCAATTACTGGCAGCAGTGGTAACGGACCTGCAAACCATGGCGCTACGAGCCGACTGGACTGTGCGATGCAAGCGAAAATCGCTATTCCGACACTTACCATTGACAGTGCGTTCCAGACCGAAAAGCGCCGTGTGAATGTTGAGGACGAAAGCGCAAGTGACACGATACCCATAACCGGCGACAGGACGATTGCGAACGGTGGAATGAGCAGCACTGGGATCATGATAGAGGCGCTGCAATCGTGGTCGATTTCACCGTCGGTAACACATTTTAAGTTGACCAAAATGGCGAAGGTGATTGCGAGATCAACCATGAGAAGCGTGAGCAATGAAATGCTCAGCATCCACGACAGGTTGAGTGAACTGCTGCGAGGCAAGTTTCGAGGAAGCAGATGGCGGCGAAGAAACGACGTCAACACTTGACGCGGCGCCCTAGCAGCGAGACGTCCGCGCAGCTCGTCAGCACATATCAGCACCCCCGGGACGGGCAGCGAGCCATCAACGGGTCCAAGCCAGCCTTCGTAATAAATGCGATGCGATGCGCTGTTTACAGTCCTCTTCTTCGCAGACGCCGATCCCACCAACGCATCATCCGCGCTCACGTTTCGCCCTGAATGCCCACTCCCGGTCAGCCCATCTCTAGGCGAACTAGAAGAACGTATTCGTAGTGCCTCTTCTCGAATGCTACTCACAGGGATTTGGGCCAGAGCGTTGCCGCTTCCTGGAGCAGTGGAAGTGCGACTGCTCACTTGTGACAGTTCGTTGCTGCTGACTGCTGTGCTCGACCTATTCGTGTCGTACAGCATGTCGTCGTTGCCAAAGCTGCCATTACGATGAGGTCCAGGATAATCAAGTGAACTCCCACGACCGTATCCGTACACATCATTGATGTTGTAGCAATCCGGGTCTTTCCAACAGTTGCTACTGTAACCTTGCCGACTTGGGACTGACGCCAACTGCTGGGAGCTGCGATTGTTGTCAACGTTGTCACATGAATCTTCTGCTGTCGAAAGAAAGAGGCCGAGCTTAAATTCCTCCCCCATGTTCAGCTCGTCTCGCACGTAGAATCTACCAAGATAAATGCGCAATCCCCCTAGCTTACTTGAGTTGCTCCCTAGCGCAGATAAAGCGCGTTGTTTCTCCAAGTACACTGCAGCAGGCAGAAGCGAGTCCACTAGTGAAACCTCATCGCGCTGCACGACACGTAGCAGCTCGTTGAGCTCGGCAACAAATTCAATCCATGGCTCATCAATAAACGCCGTTAGCTCAGGACACTGAGGGATAGATCGCACAAGCAGATCATTCGGGTCCAAGTAGAACGGCGAGAAGTATGTTCCGCAACCAGCAAATAGTAGCACAAGCGGCAGCGATGGCTTGCCAATCTTTGTTGTGGGCACACACACGGACTGTGAGCTCTCTTTGTACAATAACTCAAGGTAAACAAGAGAGTAATCAGCACAATAGCCGAGCTTTACGGCATTGAGTAGACCACGAGCTCGAGGCCCTTTCATACAGGCGTGGTTGTACTTCGCAACAATCCGCTTGAGCTCGTTCACACGAATATGTCGTCGGAACAGCTTCACCTCGGACGCGAATGGGTAGCATATCAATGCCACTAGATAATACACAACCTCCCCCCAGCTGGAGCAAGGACCACGTTGCCAGGCCAAAACGCGGTTAATGCGGTCCGCCAAGTTCTTAAACTCGACATCGTACAAAACCTTCTTAAGCGATGGCGGCACTGTCGTCCGAAGCTTCAGCGGCGAGTCAGGATCGTTGTACCCAGCCAAGTATAAACGGGACATGTGCTCGGGTAGATCACGCTCCATGAGCTTCGGGTAGACAACTCGTGGCCAGTAAAAGCACCGAAAGATCGACACAAACCAGCTGCGCTGCGAGTTCGCTACAGCCGATGAAAGTAAATGTTGCCGTTCACCCTTCGTATCCCGACTGTTGTACATACGAGTGTACGATGGCTCTTTGCGGTTTCGACACGCGTATCCGAGAGAAATAAAGAAAGTCACTATGCCCATCAACACAAGAGCAAAACCAATTTCACCGCCGCATGCATCCAGTAACTGCTGGATTGGCGATACACAGTGATATCCTGAATATCCGGGATCGCATGCCCAATCGCATTGCGCGCTGGTGGCACCACGGCCAATGTAGTGCGCGTTTGCCGGCGCATTGCTGCACAATACGCATTTGGCACTGTTGCTCTCAGACTTGTATTTCCCTACGGCGCACAACCGACAGAACAATCCGCCGGAGCCAGGTGGGCATGGAAAACCAAAGAACGAGCCACTTGCGCCAGCCGGTACTAGGTAGTTCGGCGCTTCTTCAGTGGCTGGTGCCGGCAATGCTGGTGCGTCGCTATCACTGCTAGCTGGATTGTACGAGGTGGCTCCTCCTGCCACTGTGTAATTACCATCAAATCCTCTTGTGCACCGATCAAAGGTACTCAGCTCGCAGCCGGTAAGCTGCAAGCGACCGCCACCGCCACCACCGCCGCAAAGGCGAGGAATGATTGTTGGAGCTGGTGGTGCCTCAATGCCGTCGGCAACATCACCTTGAATGGTTCCAGTATATAAATCTGATGATGCCTGAAATGCTGAGGCACTCACGACGCTATTGACAGTGTCAATACATTCCGAGCCACCACCGACAGCGCTGATATGCCCATGACCACGCAGAAATTGTGCGACAGAGAGCCCCAAGAACCCGCCGGAGCCACCACCTGCACCGTTTGCCCCACCAACGCCGTTGCAACGAATTTCGCCATTGAGTACGAGACCGGTTGCACCAAGCAATACGACACCACCACCATTTCCGCCATCCACACAACCGCCACCTGAGCCTAGCATGCCTGCACCGGATCGAGTTCCATACGGCAGACCGCCAGGTGCATAAGTACCAGTTGCAGTCACCACGCTTGAATCAGCTCCATTACCACCGTATCCCGCACCTCCCCCGATGGAGCCAACACACGATCCCATGCCCGGGCCCTGATTCGCCAATTCTCCAGTTCCATCTGCTGAGACGACAGATCCTTGAGAGATTTCGACAGAGTCAGTTGCGCACAACAAGACGGCTCCTCCGCGCACAAGGCCAATATGTTGTATCAAAAGTTCATCATTCTGCAAGAATTGATCGTCAAGTTGTTGCTCTTCCACTTCCGCGGTACCGACATAAATTGATCCAAGCGCGTGTAAGACTAGCGTAAAATTGCTTGCTATCAACGACGCTGACAGGATACTTAACGCCGCAGACACCTGCTCCGATCCAAACTGTGTATCGTTCTTCACCACGTCTTCTTCCAATGAACGAAGCGATGGCCACTGTTGCTCTCCACAGGAGCCAAATATCGCTTTCATATTTGGACTATTGAGCGCTTCCACGTGGCCATTTATTGAAATTGAGTGCTCGGAAGACACAGATAGCACTCCAACAGATATTGTTCCACCCAGTACAACATCACCTCCACTTACCACCGCCAGCACTTTCTCGTCAAACCCATTCGTTGTTGCAATTCCCGCATCACTAGAATCAAGGGCGCTCGATACATTGGCGTCCAAGTGAACGCTCCCGCTTGCAACAATTTGTGCGCTCCTTGCAAACTCTAAAACAGTAGTGCCATCCATCGACAAAGAGCGAGCAGACAGCTGTAGTGCGCTAGTAGGCATGATAATGTGCGAGTCACTGGAAACGACCATGTCACGCACTCGAACTTTCAGAAACGAAGACTCGTTGCCAAAATGACTACCGATCAAAGTAGGCCGTTGGTGCGTCAACCGCAGTGCATCCAACAGGAATGATCCATTGATAACTGTAAGGTCTCCTCCCGGCAGCTTCAGGCAGCTCGAGGCAACAACAGCACCGTCGGAAATCGTCAATGCATCAATATTCTCTGCCGCGTCATTCTCGATGTATAAACTCGTGACCGCACCACCGATCACCGTGTCCGTGACGTCAAACTCCACAGCTTCTCCGTCATCAGCTTCCACACGATTGGGCCACAGACGCTGCAAGCCGTTGTCAACAAGAAGGTGGGCCTCATGCACGCCGTTCAAATGCTGCACTACTTGGTAGTACGTACCCGCTGCACCAGCAAGCGCTGAAATCTGCACGTGGCGAAAGCGGCTACTCATTGCTAACAAGCTCTTCACTTGGTCCGATCGGAGTGTGCCTCCAGTTGTATCAATCGCACTGCTGTCCAGCTGACTGGACATGTAGCTAACCTGCACTCGGCCACCGCCTCCTGCAGGAAAACAGTCCGTAATACCACGGTCTACTGCCCGGTCCGTGCAAAATGCGTCCCCTCCTTTCGCCTGGACGGCCCCTCTCAACGACAGCGCGTTGGCCAAGATGTAGACCGAGCCGCCCGAGCCGCCACTGACACCATCCACAGCAGCTGCTCCGTTCGCCTGAATCGTCGCGCCTTCCATCACAACGACGTCTTTCGATGCTCGAATTTGGATCCGACCGCCTCCACTGACCGTAGCAACAACGTGTTCACGCTCGCTCGCACCTTCTTGGCCCTCGTCTGCCGTGGCCCCAACCGTCGCTCGACTCCCACTGCCCAATAGAAACGGCGCAATCAGCGCACTCGGATCGGCCGCCGCGTCCCCCGACTGCTTCCGCGCGACCGCGTCGGCCAACAGCTCCTTCTCGATCGCCCACAGCGCCGCCAGCTGCCAGCCCGCACTGCTTTGCTGCAGCAGCACTTCTTTCCCGTCCTTCGTGTGGTCCACGCGCGCCGTCCGCCCGCGCACGTCAAAGAACCCGTGCGTGGTCTGCTCCGTGAGCATCGACGCGTTCGCAATGAGGCGCTGGCCGCCGCCGCCGCCGTAGCTCGCGCCCCACACGTCGGTGCCGGTAAACAGTCCGTCCTGCGCGCGGAACACGCCGCTGTACGACGCCGTGAGCTGCGCCTGCGCTGCCAAGTGCACGAACGCGGCCTCGAGGCTCATGGACGTGGCCCGGAGCGTCGCGCGGGCGCCCACGAGCACCGTCTGCCCAGCGCCGACGTGCAGCAAACAGTCGTCGCCGTCGACGGCAACGGCGACGCCTGGGGCCAGCGCGAGCGAGCCAGCGACGTCCCAGTGGCACGTGTAGCCATCGACCGCCGTCTGGGGCGCGTGGGGTGTTTGGCCGGCGGAAGTTGAGGTGCTGGTGGTGTGGACCGACACCCCTGTCAAACGTGATATCGAAGGCCGCGGTCCGCAGGTGAAAGATACCGACTGGTCGAACGTGCACGACGACGTGCTGGCGTTCCACGCGCAGTACTCGTGGTAGTCGACGCAGTGCGGCGATTCCGACGAGGCGGTAGCGCCGCGACAGCTGCGGACGAAGACGAGGAGGAAGAGCGTGCGAAGCAGTGGCCGATGCGCAGCGGCCATGCCGTCTGCCATGCCGTCTGCATGCCGTTGATCGTTCACGGGGTGCACCGCGCGCACTCGGAGTGATGGTCACCGCGGGTCAAGTGCGTTTTATCAAGTATCACAAACCACAACGATCCGTGGTCGGTGTCAATGGGCGCCGTGCCAACAACTCGACCGTTGGCCGTATCATGATACACAGGTGATAGCACCGCCCGCGTGGCAGTCGGACCTTTTTCTGCCCGTGCGACCTCCTCCACGCGCGGTCGTCCCTCCCCTCGTTCGAGTGACGTCTGCCACTGTCCCACGTGTCCCGCCGCTCTGGTCATTCGCGCGTTTGCATGTCGTACTTACTGCCGCACCTCGAGAGCGGCTGGGCCGTCGACCAGGCGATCCTGAACGAAGGCGACCGCGTGGTCGTGCTCCGCTTCGGCCATGACCACGACCCGACGTGCATGCAGATGGACGAAGTGCTGTGCGGCGTCGCGGAGGACGTGAAGAATTTTGCTGCGATTTATGTGGTCGACATCACGGAAGTGCCCGATTTCAACACCATGTACGAGCTCTACGACCCCTGTACGGTCATGTTTTTCTTCCGGAACAAGCACATTATGATCGACCTTGGCACGGGCAACAACAATAAGATCAATTGGGCGTTTAACAACAAACTCGAGATGATTGACATCATTGAGACCGTCTATCGAGGCGCGCGGAAAGGCCGCGGACTTGTTATTTCGCCGAAAGACTACTCGACGAAATACCGCTACTAGAGACTCGCAGCCGCTGGGACAGGTAAAAAAACCACTGAGCGTTCCTAGTGACGTGCGTGTCCTACCGTTTGAATGGACTCTTTGTTTCGTCACTCTATTTCTTCTTTTGACGTTACTCGTTTACTTTTCGATAGGTTCTCAGTTCTTTTCCCTCTTTTCTCGTTTTCTTCGTCGTCTCTTTCTTCGTGTTCTTCCGCATCTTTTCTTCTTGTGGGAACTTTGCTGGCGGATTCTCAAAGATGTGGTGTGAAAGAAGACGAGGAAGAAGTCGGAAGTCATTGACAGATGACACTTATAGATATACTCGCAGTAAGAAGCTTGGAACGCCATGCAGGGGACGGTCGGATCGCGGGGTATCATGGCGTTGTACGATAGCACGTAGCTGCTGCATCTTCAACAATAAGGGCAGCGCCGTATCTACCCTCGTGGTCTGGGCACCACTTCATAAGTGTAATCGTGTCGCCTGCATATCTCTTCGAACAGTTTTCTCGCACACCGTTCGTCGCCATAGCAAGAGCACCACCAATCAATTCGACCGCCTCGTTTCGTGCCGGTTCTGTGTCGCAGTTGCATAGCTCCTCTATACGCGGCCGTCGCGCTTGCATCGTGGTATGAAAGAGGACGCAAAGTGCTCGTGCGAAAGTAGCGAATCAATCTATGCGCTAACAGGACCACACGTGCAATCACGATCACCAGCATTGACTTCTGCACTAGTCGTACAGTTTCGCGGTCGTACACGGGTTCAACGACATTGTAAAACTAAACTTGCGCCTGGAGTTAACGACTGTCGACGGCACTAGTTCCGAAAGTCGCTAAGCATTCAAATTCTTCTGTAGATATGATGACGCGTTTTGTGGTCGACATTATTCGACGCCACCTATGCACACGACAATAAGCTGTCGTTTTCTGTATTCGAAAGTCACCAACCAACTGTAACGATTTACTTACATGCTCGGTCAAGTAAGGTGCTGGAGTGATACATACACACAGGCGAACAAGTCGAATACGGCCGAATGGCTCACTGTCACAGTTGCTATGCACATCGCATATATCATAGTTCCTCATTTGCATGTAGGTACATATTGATATGATGGATGACGCAATTGGGGAGCAGCGGCGAGCAACACGAAAACGAGAACGATTTCGTGACACGTGATTAGCAAAGTGAAGGCTCAAAGAGTATACGACAGATAAAGGAGCGAACGTTGCAGACACGACGTGAGTGGTGACATTGTAGCTGATACACAAAACTTATCACGACTGGCGCTGGCTAATGACGATACCCACTCTGACATTGACACGTCCCACCGACCGACGCACAAGTCGACGCGCTTGCAAGTGGTCCAGACGACATTGAGGATCAGGCTGGATGTTTGGGATAGCTCAGGACTCAAGATTCAGACGAGAAATGTGTGGTGGTGTGGGAATCTTGTCCCATTCAGTTGATGAGATAAACGAACGTTCTATCAGGGAAAGGAGACATGCATTCGCGCATGCTGCCGAGCTACGTCTACACCTACCACTTTACTTTCCGCATCGTCGAGCACACTTGCTTCCATCCCTCCTTGCCTCATCTCATCTCATCTCGCCCTCTCGTAGACTCAAATCGACACTGGCTATCTGCATCTGTCAACGTAAAAAGCATACACTTAGGTCATGCCATGCAGGTGCCTCCTTTCGCCCGCATTGTTGCGCTGCAGCATATATAGTAAAACCGATGAGGCTGTGTGTTGAATATGAAGCTACAACCTTTGTTCATGTGCTTGTTTGCGATTACGGATGAGTCCGTTTTGGCTGCAACACTGGGTGTTCACAGAGAGATAGATACATCATATGTTGCGCAGTTAGTTCCCGTTACACATCCGTCATGTGCGGTAGTGTACACGTATCTGAAAGAAAATTGCGGCGTGACGCTTAGTCTGTCCAAACAATCAGATTATTGTGTCAGTCAACGAGGTACTGTACACGAGCCGCAAATTTGCTTTAAAGGAGTTATAGAAAGATAGTTCCGATTGAGAGGGTCAAGAACGGCGGCGTGTACCAAAGTTGTGGCGTTCTCTTCTGATGACGCACTGCTTCGATGGATTCATGCACGAGTCGTACAGATTACGTCATACGATCAGCGTTCCGTTCAGCGCAATCATAGTCTCATGTCATTGTAGTAAACATTTTCCTTCCGACAAACACGACATGGACCATAGCTAGAGAGAGAGAGAGAGAAAAGAGAGAGAAGGTTTGAGGTGTATTCGGGTATAGGAACCATAGCTTAACGTCGTTTGCGTATCGCCATTTCTTGTGCTCATGGGTACTTGTATCCAACCAACAGCTAAAGTGAAAAAGCAAACACCGTGACAATGAATTCTTTCAAACGTGTATTTGTGACCTGTATCGACTCGCAGTACTCTGTCGCATGAACGAAGAAGTGTGTTACTACGCCACGCAGATAAGACAAGCCGCTTGTGTCGAGGAGCAACGAAGGCTGTAGTGACGATACTAGTCGCTGCGGGCTCTCTTTGGACGCATTACGACGTGCCAGAGTTATAGAGCGGCGGGCGGACGTAAAAACGTTGGTATCTGCGAAACGCCTTCTGTCTATCCGGGAATTTCCCCATCGTTCCCCGCAACTTTAACTTTCGAAAAAGAAGTCTCGAGTCATCATATGTGCTCAACCAGCTCTCGAGCTGGACAACTTGTAACTTCACAGCTAGCTTCTTGGTGTGCTCAACCGTTGCCGCTTTGGCTAGCATGTCGACGAGAATTTCATCGTCATAGTGCTCCAATAACTCTTCGTACATGCTCTCATAGGCTCTTTCGTGCGTTTGTCGCATGTATTCAGCCCAAACGTTGATATACGGATGGTCGAATGGGGAGATGCTTGGATCGCCTAGGACGGGTACGAATCGGCTCAGGACGTACTCCGGTGGCTTATCAAAGTAAAGCCACCGTTTAAAGCGCAAGCGCGTCAATCTGGCCTTAAGAGCTTCGGCTATAGGCAATTCCTCCAGCACTTGTCTTGCAGAAAACGCTCGATTCTCCGGAGGAAGACGATCTGTCATGTCGGATTGTACCTCCTGTTCTGGAGCGACCGATAAGTGGTCGGCAGAAGGTGCAACCTCATCCGCAATGGAGCCAAGTGAGCGGGGATTTTCTGGGCCTGATGCTGCCGTGGCACTTGGGAGGATCGCGAGCGTACTCGACAGCAGGAGAAGGACCTTGCAGCGCATGGCCCGATTTCGTTCACGTTCTAGAGCGCAAATCAAAGACTGAGCTGCCTTCACTAGTAAGAAAAAATAGCACCCGCGGCAAAGATATGCACGATCGCACGCAAAAGGGACAGTAGGATAATGTGATTACTACAAGAGCAACTGCAGCATCAACACGTCTTGTTGAAATGACTAGAAACTGGTCACTGTCGCGGCTTTTCTGTGCAATATGTCACAGATGGCGCGAGCCACCAGCTACCAGTCTACCTCTGGCAACCAGCACATTCACTACTGGCAATAGCCAGACAGCCCATGTATCAGCTTATTGGTTGGGCGTATGCTTTGGCAACTCGGGACATTTGGTGTCTCGCTTGACAAAACGTTCTTGTTGTGTCCCATTGCTGTCCAGTTATTCATCCGGTGATTGCGTAATACACGCGCAGCTGCATGCGATTGTTGACAACGAACGAGTAGGTTTAAGGTACCATCGTGCCCTGAACGCGACTCTCGTGCTCTTCTGTGGCCAGACATGAGGGATGCAGGCGCCATCGTGCCATGCAGATAGACTTTGACACGATAAAGGCCAAGTGGTCAGAGAGGGGGAAGAAGAGAGAGAGAGAGAGAGAGAGAGAGAGAGAGAGAGAGAGAGAGAGAGAGAGAGAGAGAGAGAGAGAGAGAGAGAGAGAGAGAGAGAGAGAGAGAGAGAGAGAGAGACGTATGACAGTGAGCGCCACGTCACGTGTGTTCGGAAGACACCTGATTCAACAAATCATAGCCAGTCATCAGGACGGCAGGGCGCAATCAGTTGCGGTAAAGAACGAAAGGTGCAAAGGTTTTTGCCACACACGAGGGACGCGCTAAACAGCGCCAACTGAAAGACTACCTGGCGCCAACTCAATCTTTAACTACACAAATACATATAATCAGTTGAATTTGGGTCGTAATTTGTGTTCGTCTTCACAGAGGACAAAATGACAGCGGTACGTAGCACCGAAATCTACGCCAAGAGAAGCTCAAACAGAGCGCAATCAAACTGATGGGGAAACCACGACCCTGCCCGGGTCCCCGCCGATTCAATAGGAGGCGAAGTAGCCTCCAACCAGCCGATCCTTATATTCAATGTGTCACCTCCTACGCAACTGCATCCCTATGAATGTACGCGGACCTACGGAACGAAATCATCGGGACACGGTAGGACCGTGATCCGCTTACGGCACACTAAGTTTGGCTCTGACATGTACCCAATTCATTCTTCGGCAACTTCAGGGCGATATGTTAGAGTTGACGAGCTCTACCGCGAATGAGCCCACCTGCTGGCAGAACAATATTAAAGTCGTATTGGTTTTGCACACAACTGCGTCACTGGTTTCATTGACGTGCAGGGGTCAGTGGACAACGCCAGGATCTAAAAGGCGATCACGGGACAAGAATGTAAGGATAGTGACAGACTATGTGGCTCTTCATGACAGCCTTGTGATTCTTTTCCGACGCGCATGTCTCTATAAACGATGACAATATGCACCTACACACACTAATGATGGGCATATCTGTATCGTGTTTAGCAGGATGACTGGGAAACAAGTGTGGATACGCCGTCGCGCTCAAGTTGCTGATGAGCCTACGTCGTGGAGAATGCTAGGTTGCAAAGGTACAGTAGTGTACCTGTTCTTTGAATATTTATGGAAACTAGCGCCCTGGGGTCAATGATATGCAGTGGACTGGCGAAAATGTGTACAACCAGGAGATGCCAAGGTAACGAAGCCACTGCTTTAACCGCAGCAGTCTACCAATATCTATTGGTTTCTCGGCGCATGTGAATTCTAATTACAGATTCGCTTATCCGATAGATATATTGTCCAGCCTCGAGCGTACATGGATACTGATAGCTCGAGTTTTGGCAGACGAAGGCACCGCGGAACGCACTCAGTGAAATGCAACAACAACATTTGGCGGGGTCCAGATCACGCGTGTCGAGGCTATTGCAATAACGATCCAAATGAGGTTAAACTCATACCGAGATCAGCTACGTGCTCATACCTTGTCTTCGCTCCAGTAGTGGCCACACCTGGTATCAACTTTCTTCTTAAACTCGACAAGTCGGGTCGCATGTTGCCATCAACCTTGGACTGCTGGAGGGACGTAATTGAGCAGTCGTTGTCTTGCTGACAATTCTTCATTTAGAAATCTGAAACCAGTAGCTTTATAAGTCGCGATAGGATCAAATGAAGGTAAACAGTAAGCTTTGCTGCACGTACCTGGCTCGAACCTGCCTTCCGTCAGTGCAGCACGTGCCTGGCTCGAACCTGCCTTACGTCAGTACAGCACGTGCCTGGCTCGAACCTGTCTTACTTCTGTGCAGCACGTACCTGGCTCGAACTTGTCTTACGTCAGTGCAGTACTTTTGGCTCGGAATTTCTTTATGTGTGTTTCCAAACGCTAAGGCGTAACGTTTGGTAATGATGTGGGGGGAGGGCTGTCGCCTTAAAAAATATGTGATACGTTTGTATTAATCGCAAGACGCGGTGCTATGTACCGCTGTCATTTTGTCATCTGTGAAGACGAACACAAATTACGACCCAAATTCAACTGATTATATGTATTTGTGTAGTTGGAGATTGAGTTGGCGCCAGGTAGTCTTTCAGTTGGCGCTGTCTAGCGCGTCCCTGCTAAGACACTTGCTACAAACGAGCTCAAGTGCAGTAATGGCCAGCGACCACGACATCAGAAAAGCCGGTCAACCGGCTTTTTCACCCGCATGAGAAGCCCTCACAGTGAAAGGGAGCTCAGGGTATGTATAGGAGGGAGGCCTTTCATCGCGGAGTGCGAACAGGAAGGAGAGCAATGGAGAAAGACGTCCCGAGGTGTGGGGAACACGTTGGTAGCGTCTCAAATAATTTGCACTAAGGCACGCGCAAGTTGCCGCTCAGCTAGAATCGGGGTCAAGGCGTCGCCCCGTTCACCGAGCGCGATTTCCGGCACTAGTAAGAGAAAGGTGACTAGATGGTGAGGCTGCTGTCCATTCGATTTAGTATCCAGGCACCATGCCACTGGCGAACATGGCTGATCAAGGTTGCCCAAGCAGTGACTGGAAACCTCTTGTGACTTCTGTATTGTGTTTGCTTCATCTTCTTGGCGGTTGTGCAAGTATCACGACCGCAAAAACCAGCGTCTGAATAGGTTACAACAATTTGATACATTATATCGAAGAACAAGCTCTCTAAAAGAACTGGTGGTACATTATGACATCGAGGAACAGGTGCGTTGTATAAGCTTAATTTCCGATAGCGCTAGATATAAAAATGTGATCTGGAGTCTAATCTTTGGCCTTTCTAAAAACAGCGTACGACTAAATTTTGAAGTCAAAAGACGCTCTTATAAGTACAAAGTAAAGGATAGCGCCAGTAGAAGTGCCGTTTCCTGCAAAAACAAGTCAGACACGTAAATACAATTCATACAAATGGTCGAACGTTGGCCCTGTTCAAGATGTGCCCTCGAAATCTATACGGTCGATGTCACGGGACACCCTCCGCTTGTACTGACACAGTACAAACTGCCTACGCTGACCATAGTGTGGATAGGTGCTTGGGATACTCACGTACACGCACGTGTAGCGGAAGATTAATCTACTAAACATAGGTGGTAAGCTAAACGGGAAAAGTAAAAGTGTACTGATCGATACTAAAGGTCTTCTTGATATGATCGTTTCAATCTTGCTTGTGTAGATCGGCCTAAAAATATGCAAATTGACTACTGGCTCACCACCTGTTGCGCGCCTCTAGCATCAATTGTCAGTTTGATTCTTTAATTATTTGTCCTCGTCCTCTATATAACACTGAGTCGAACAGGACCTATTACTACCTCCCGGAGTGTAAGTCCTCTCAACATTTTTAAGCAAGGCGAATCTTGAGGAGTACGTACAATTTAAACAATAGTTTTATCGGCCCATTTCAAATAATGCCGTATTACGTGCTGACCTAATCACATCTTTACCTTTCAACAGCAGTTACATTAGTGACTGATCGATTGACGATTAGTGGCAGAGATTTTACAATGGGATCATTCTGGGAAAGAGGAGACCTTATTGTTCGGATACAATCTGTTTTGATTTGCATCACTAGGTAAAATGTTTACAAAGTGTGCAAGCAACTTTGCATACTTAGCGGATGCGCGGATGCGTGCAGCCACTGATTCGAAATATGAAGTCAGAAGAGCAGGTGGTCACTTGCTGATGCTATGATTGAAGAAATTACAACGTAAATCGTTTCAGGTATACGTAGCGACTCGTCACATGTACTTCATGCGCGCGTGAAACCTGCTGCAGCTGCTATTTTCATTAGTAATGAAAGATAAGTCGATAGAGGACTAGATTGTCAGTGATATGTAAATCAGACACTAAAAAAGTCACGAGCTTTGTCCTATGCTAATTCCCTACCTTCCATCACACTGGATCACGATCTAATAAATCCGTGGTCTTGCAAACTGTTGTCTTGTACTCAGCATAGCCAGAGATATAGATGGGCAAGATTCCACCAGCTTCGTGCTAAATGAGTGACTCCGATTGTGTAGACTATATGGCGTTATCATGAGTCGTGCATCCAGAACATATCGCAAACACAGTTTCGAACAAGTAATGATACTCTTATGTTTAGGTCACCTCTTCTCACGAGTCGAATGAAGCATCCAAATCTCGCTAATGGCAAAATATACAGGTAAAACCGGGGCTTTAGAAACGACGTTGTACAGGTCTCGTCGTGGCGGCTAATTCAGCGAATATAAGCGCCTTGAGGCTTTTGAGTCATCTAACACTTATACCGCTTATATCCTTAATCGATTCGATCGCAATTACGATATCGCGCAACGAGTGGTCGACTGAATGGCTCTGATTAATGCAAAGTGCCTTTAACTGTGTAAAATTGTTCCATGTAAACGATACAACATTAGGGTTTTTCACGCCCTATTTCAACTGATAACAATCGCTTACTTTTACCGTTGTAAGAAAATTTAATGGAGATATTAATATT